GGTAACACTGAAGGAGCGCTGGGATAGATAGGAGGAGAGCCAGGAGATAGCGGAGTCTCTGATGCCAAGGGAGTATAGTTTTTTTAAGAAGGAGGGGGTGGTCAACTGTGTCAAAGGTTACAGAGAGGTCGAGGAGTAGGAGGACTGAGTAGTGGCCAGAGCTTTGGCAGTTAGTAGGTCATTTGAGTAAGGCAGTTTCGGTAGAGTGTAGGGGACGGAAGCCAGACTGTAGGGGATCAAGGAGGTTGTTGTCATTGAGGTGGGAGCTTAGGCGATTATAGACTAAGCGATCGAGGAGTTTGGGTGTAAATGGCAGCAGGGAGATGGATCTAAGGTTGTTCAGGTCGGTGGGGTCCAGGGAGAGTTTTTTGAGTATGGGGGTGATGTGCGCGTGCTTTAGGGGGGAGGGGAAGGCGCTAGTAGAGAGGGAGAGATTGAAGATGTGGGTGTGGGAGCGTAGGATGGAGGAGGAGGGTGACCGTAGGAGTTGTGTGGGGACAGGGTCAAGGGGGCAGGTGGTGAGGCGGGCTTCGGAGAAGACCTTAGTGACCTCTTCAGTGGTAGCAAGGTCGAAGGAGTGGAGTGTTGGAGGGGTTTTAGTGTGCGGGATGTTAGGTGGTGTGGGGGTCTGGGCAGTTGCGAGGTCAGAGGAGGGGTGTGTTGAGGGGGTTATCATGGAAGTGAGGCTAGGTGGGGTGGAAGTCTGAGCATTGGCGATGTCCCTACGAATTGCATCAATCTTATTTTGGAAGTGGTTAGCAATCTCGTGGGCGGTGAGTGAGGTACTGGGTGAAGGTGGGGGGGGTAGAGAGTAAGGGAGTTAAAAGTGGAGAAAAGCCGGCGAGGACTGGAAGAGAGGGTATTGATCAGGGTTACGAAGTAGGCTTGTTTGGCAGCGTGGAGGGAGGAGGTGTAGGTGAGGAAGGCAGATTTGTATAGAGTGCTGCAATGATGATAACAGATGGGGAATATTCACTGGAGGAATAATAAAAAAAAGTTATAATAAACAACAAGGAACTATGAAAGATGAATGTTTTAGCCTAATAATTATATGTGCCTAATAATTTATGGTGAAGTGCAATTACTACACAAGATATATTAGAGACGAACTATGAAGATAAATGCATATAATAGAGAAGGGAAAGTCAATTTCCATGAACATCACTAATAAATCCAACAAAATCTATAATAAATATAAATAAGGTACCTTGTCCCCAGGACTAGATCCCAAATGTGCCATAAACAGGCTGGATTTAGTTCTGTAAGTTTAAGCAAAAAATACCAACTGTATAAGCAATCTGGAGAGACCGAGATCACTAGCCAGCCACTTGTAAAAGTAGCTTTTTTTTCAAAACAAGCAAACAAAAATTGCTTTCTTCAGCAAAAGTAAATGCAAACAGTCCATAATTCTGGTATAATTAGGATCACATACTTGTTCACCACCAGTATACAAGTCCCCACTTTGGTTTAAGGTTCCTGTCTGCTTCAGGACACCGAAAGGCCACAGGAGCTCAGCAAACAAAATGTCTCAGTCCACACCGGCTCACAGCTGTGAATGACTCAACTTCACCTTCCTGTCCCTTTTCAGGCCTTTGCAGGCAGGTTAACCCTTTCAGGACCAAAGTTCCTGTAGTCAGTGTTTGGAGGCTTTTTTCCAACAAAAGTCTCCTGACACTCCAAATTCTGGGTCCCAAATGAGGACTTACCAATCTACAGAGCACTGTAACTCAGTACTCTCCTCTCTGACCAGACTGCTATAGAATCCCTCACCTTACATGGGTGAGAACTGTCTCCTCTGTGGTCTATAGACAAATGACGAGAGAGCTGCTATCCTGGGTAGACAGTATATTACGTCCTCCCAGGATTGCACCTTGGGTGCACCCACAGGCCATGCTGTGGTGCGATTTGTCACCCTCTGTGTCCACCAGACACAGCAGATGACAGATCAGTGTACTGGCCCACTGCCAGAACCATGTGATTTGCTGTGAAAAATCACAACAGATCACATGACAATTGTACATGAATGAACAGTTTCCATTCATAGCCATTTATTGTACTATTGTGTTGACCTCTGTGATTGGCTGTGATTGGCCCTGTCTGTAACATGTGATTAGCTGTGGCCAATCACAGCTAATCACAGTAGTACACACTGTATGAATGGATTTCATTAATAAAAAATGATTGCTATTAACAGTGATTATCACTGTTATAAGCAATCATAGTGTATACAAACAGAAAATCCTGATCACCTCCCCAAAGTAATATAGAGTTACTATGGTAACAATATATTACTCTGGTCACAGTATGTAAAAAAAAATCGTAAAAAAAAAGAGAAAAAAATGTAATGAAATAAAAAATTTTAAAAAGTGTATTACATTTTTTTTTTTTTTTTACATACTGTCACCAGTCAGTTTCTCTGATCACTGCCACACCAGTTAAATGATGACACTGTAAATGTGAAAAATAACTTTTAATTTCTTTAATTTTCTAAAAATGAAACAAAAAAATATTCAGAAAACTTGTCATGCCTTTTATTAAATACCTTGGACTGTCTACTTTTCAATAGGGAGCATTTAGGGAGTATTTGTGCTGTCCTGTCATTCTCAGGCCTCAAGAAATGAGGCCATCAGTACAGGATTGATCGATTTTCAGATATATACACCATAGTTTGTGGACTGTGTAACTTTCCTAAAGACTAAATAATATAGACTGATTTGGGTTATTTTCACCAAAGAAATGTAACAGTATATATTTTGGTCTAAATATATGAAGATAAATTGTTTATTTGCAAAATTGTATAACAGAAACAAAGAAAACACCTCTATTTCAAAATGTTTGGTCTTTTTTAGTTTATTTAGCAAAAAAAAAAAAGTGGTAATTAAACAACACCAAAACAAAGGTCTATTTGTGTGTGAACAAAATGATAAAAAAAATCATTTGGGTGCAGTGTTGCATGACTGAGTAATTGTCATTCAAACTGTGACAGCGCTGAAAGCTGAAAACTAGCCTGGGTAAGAAGGGGTGAAAGTGTCAGGTATTGAAGTGGTTAAAATGTCTCTTGCTGCCACTTTAAAGGGACTACATCCCAAATAACGGGGACACGTATCTCCCACCCATCCCTGGCTTCCTGCAGAGTGCATTAAGCTGTTTATCTGGAGTTCAGCTTTACATTTCTTTAAATATTATAGGCCAAGTCAGGTTCACTTTTAATTGATGCTGCCAAGTGGATTGGGCGCCTTCCATTTAAATCACTGTCTTTAGAGCAGAAATCTGCATAGAGTCAGGATCTCTCCACACTTGTTTGTACCTGGCTGTAGTCACAGATTATCTATTATTGCACCAAAACATCTCAGATCTTAAAAGCTAATTTATGTAAATAATAAACAATTGCATTTTCAGGCATTCTGTTCTTAGTGACGTGGAGTGTATGTCCTTGACATACACTAGAGGAAGAATTTACAAGGCTGTATATTATATGTCATGATGGAAATATCAGGCATGTAAAATATGTGTCTCTCACCCAAAGTGACTTTCAGGTCATTGTTACACTAATGACTCAAATTAATGTATTTTGTTAAAATGCACTATAGTTTCTTTTTAGGACTTATGCCAACAAAAGCTGCATATAGCATGATAATGTCAAACAGCCTCATTTAATCTAAGGTCGAAGATGATGTGCAAATCAAAGCAAACTAAAAAAACAAAGCTATTTTTCTTACTGCAATAATATCAGTTAAAGTTTTATTCCAGAACAAGCAGAAATGCTACATCTTTTAGTCACCCAGACATATGTACTGCTTACAAGGGGGTAACTTAAAGAGGTATCAGGGGGCACTTGCCCCCTTCTTTCCTTTTTGGTGGCCTGGGTCCAGTTTGTGAATGACATTTTTATGTGTTTTATCTACCAGCTCTGCTCTCCTTTTTAAAACCCCATCTATTTTTAATACCTGTTTGATGGAGTTACATGGGCACTGATGTAGGTATATATCACTATATATCAGTAAGAACATCTAATAGTCACCTCTACAATTTTTTTTCTAGCATGTCCGTTCCCTTCTTCTCAGTATGACATGGCATTAATGGATCAGTGTTCACATGTTAATGAAAATCATATTTAATTGCCAATGCTAAGCACAGTATTTGGCTTCAAAGGGAATAGTATTTCAGATGTTATGTTCAGGAGTAAAAATACAGTTTTACAGCTTTATAATGTGGGTCAGCTGAATAGTGCCCTCTAGATCCTCAGGCTGCAGAACAGAAGCAGACAACAAGTGTAGAGCTAGTGCTGGACCTTCTTATTAGGCAGCCCAGCATGCACTGCACATGAGGGTACTGGGCTTGATTTTCACCAAGAACATGGTTTGTGTGGCTTTTATATGTTCCCCAGTATTAGAAGGGGGAACTTTCTTCCTACAATCAAAGAAACAAAGAGGTAGGCTTAATGGCTTTTATACAAGCTGAGAACCTACAGTTATACAGACTATTACAATAATACTTAACAGAGCAAAATTTAAAAAAAAAATGTGTTTATCTGCTACATAGTATTGTCCTTTTTGGTTCTTGGGCTTCTGTGGTACATTCTTACTGAGCCCCTCAACGGAACATGTAAACTAATGACTCTCCCACTGCTTTTCCTGACAGGGGATGGCATGTTACAGGCACAGACCACCTTACTCTTCACCATGTGGCCTTAACCACTTGCCTACCGGGCACTTATACCCCCTTCCTTACCAGGCCAATTTTCAGCTTTCAGCGCTGTCGCACTTTGAATGACAATTGCACGGCCATGCAACATTATACCTATATGAAATTTTTATAATTTTTTCTCACAAATAGAGATTTCTTTTGGTGGTATTTGCTTGCCGCTGAGTGTTTTACTTTTTGTGCTATAAACAAAAAAAGAGCAAAAAAAAAAAAAAAAAAAAAGTTTCTTATGTTCCTATTATAAAATTTAGCAAACAGATAATGTTTCTCCTTCACCATGTGCGTTGATGAGGCTGCACTGATAGGCAGCAATGATGGGCACTGATAGGTGGCACTGATAGGCAGCACTAATGAGGTGGCACTGATAGGCAGCACTGATAGGTGGCACTGACTGGCACAACTGCTGGTCACTGACTGGCAGCACTGTTGGGCACTGACTGGCGGCACTCTGGGCTGCACTGATGGGCACAGGTGGGTGGCACTGATGGGCACAGGTGGGCGGCACTTCTGCGCACAGGTGGGTGGCACTGCTGGGCACAGGTGGGTGGAACTGGTGGGTGGCACTGCCGGGCACTGATCATCAGGACACTGATCATCAGGGCCCCAATGATTGGTGCCAATCCCTGCTCTGACAACTGCTGGTTCTCGGCAGTACTTTCCTCACACTCTGAGAGCGTGAGGAAAGTGCAGCTGAGAACTGGTAATTGCATTTCCCAGGGACCAGCGTGTCATTGGACACGGCTGATCACGTGGTAAAAAGCCGCTGTGATTGGCCTTTTACCACGCCCTTCCAGAACTGGCCGGCCTCAGTGCAGCCATCATTCTGCTATCTGCGGTTGGCAACTAGTTAATGACCACAAGGACAGAAGGAATGCCAGCACACCAAGTATGACAAACAATGAGGTTTACTTGCACAGCATATACACTTACCAGCCACTTTATTAGGTACACCTGTTCAATTGCTGGTAACACAAGTTGCTAAACAGCCAATCATATGGAAGCAAATTAATGCATTTAGGCATCTAGACAAGGTGACGACCCTTGCTGAAGTTCAAACCAAGCATCAGAATGAAGAAGAAAGGGGATTTAAGGAACTTTGAACTTGGCATGGTTGCTGGTGCCAGACGGGCTGGTCTGAATATTTTGAAAACTGCTGATCTACTGGGATATTTAAGCACAACCATCTCCAGAGTTTACAGAGAATGGTCAGAAAAAGAGAAAATATCTAGTAAGTGGCAGTTGTGTAGACGAAATGCTTTGTTGATGTCAGAGGTCAAAAGAGAATGGGCAGACTGGTTTGAGATGATAGAAAGGCAACAGTAACTGAAATAACCACTTGTTACAATCAAGGTATGCAGAATAGCATCTCTGAATGCACTGCACATTAAACCTTGAAGCAGATGGACTACAGCCGCAGATGACTACACCAGGTGCCACTTCTGTCAGCTAAGAACAGGAAAAGGAGGCTACAATTTGCACAAGCTCACCAAAATTGGACAATAGAAGATTGGAAAAATGTTGCTTGGTCTGATGAGTCTCAATTTGCCTAGAGATGGTTGTGTGTGAAAATCCCTGTAGATCAGCAGTTTTTGAAATACAGGTGAAACTCGGAAAATTAGAATATCGTCCAAAAGTTCATTTATTTCAGTAATGCAACTTAAAAGGTGAAACTAATATATGAGATAGACTCATTACATGCAAAGCAAGATAGTTCAAGCCATGATTTGTCATAATTGTGATGATTATGGCTTACAGCTCATGAAAACCCCAAATCCACAATCTCAGAAAATTAGAATATTACATGCAATCAATAAAACAAGGATTGTACATAAAACAATATCGGACCTCTGAAAAGTATAAGCATGCATATGTACTCAGTACTTGGTTTGGGCCCCTTTCACCGCAATTACTGCCTCAATGAGGCGTGGCATGGAAGCTATCAGCCTGTGGCACTGCTGAGGTGTTATGGAAGACCAGGATGCTTCAATAGCTGCCTTCAGCTCTTCTGCATTGTTTGGTCTCATGTCTCTCCTCTTTCTCTTGGCAATGCCCCATAGATTCTCTATGGGGTTCAGGTCAGGCGAGTTTGCTGGCCAATCAAGCACAGTAATCCCACGGTCATTGAACCGGGTTTTGGTGCTTTTGGCAGTGTGGGCAGGTGCCAAGTCCTGCTGGAAAATGAAGTCAGCATCCCCATAAACATTCCAGGATAGCAGTAAAACATATATCCCATGTGAAAACACTTTTTTATACAATTTCATATCTTAAGATAGGAAATACTTACAATGAAACAAAGCATATATTCCGAGAGCTCAGTTTAATGTGAGTCGCCTGATATCTTACACCCCTAGTTAAAGTCTACAGGAAAGTAGGAAGCCATATAGTTCTAGCTGAAATAGTAACATATGTCATATTTGATGTCTGGACGTTCAGGATATCATTCTGCATATTAATCTACTAGTGGCTAGGCTGCTACATGTACCTAGGGAAGGCTATTGACCATGATATAAACTGCGAGGGATTTGGTCATAGCCTGAGTTCCCCACCTAAAACACTCCTCCCCAAATGAGGCGATTGGTTCTCTGCTGGGTTCCTAAAAAAAGGCTGCTATGCTTGGAGCAGTAAGTTGAAGAGATCTCCCTTTTAACATCAGGAACCAACTTTGGGAGAAAAGGCACCCTTTTGCTCAGGAACCTTGAAGTTGCTTAAGCCAAGGCTGACGGCAAGTATCCTACCTCTCTAAACTTCTTTCTGATATCTCTCTGTTGTGGTATTGCTCTCTGTATTTATATATATTGGCTACATCTTTTTCTGTGAATATTTTTATTGCACCATTTTGACCCTTTTTAGTAATAAATCCTATTTTCTGAAAACTGTTGAACTGTTTCTAAAAGCTCTTTAATGCAAACTAAGAATCCCTATCTCTGAAGAGTGCTACTGTGTGTTTTAGAACGTATGTATACATCTGCCTGTGGTGACAGTGTGTATACAGATACTTATTCAAACATCATAGTGTTATTGCTGCTATTGTCGAGTTTCCTCTTTCTATGTACAAAAAGGAGGTGGTGGCAGTGTTAAGGGTTAATTGCGTAATTAACCTGACCCAGTAACAATCACTCTCAGGCTGTGGTACATAGATTGTGGTCCATTAGCTGGAAAATCTTTGCGCAGGGTGCAGCTGAGCGTGGTATTGTTACACACGTGACAGCGCGGTTTTACACACTGGTTAGTCCTTCGTTCACGAGTTGGTGAGAAGGGCTGGAGGTCTGACGCCGTGACCGCCACAGTGGAATTCTAGGAATGTTAAAAGAAAACACTTTGGGGCACATTTACTAAGGCTAGGTTCACACTTGCAGACGTGATGTGGGAATAGCAAGATGCACGTGGCTGTCATTCATTCTGTAGTTTTCCTGCAGCTGAGTTTTTAAAAAGGTGCATGCACTTTTTTCCTGTGGGAAACACGGCACAGTAGACCATACATTTGCCCAAGAGAACGTGGGCCACACGGCCCGCAATATTGTGAATCAAGCCTAAAACTGGTGCACAGAGAATCTGGGGCAGCGGTGCATAGTAACCAATCAGCTTCCAGGTTTCATTGTCAAAGCTTAACTGAAGTAAACTAACGTTAGAAGCTGATTGGATACTACGTACAGCTGCACCATATTTTTTGTGCACCAGTTTTAGTAAATCTCTCCCACTGTCAAGCGCTGGCTTGCTTCCCAAGGTGACTATGTATGGTTGAGCAGATTTAATTTTGGTTGTTACTAATATGTAATAACTATCTAATATATTATTTGTTTTTCATAAAACAGAAAGTTTTCTGCTTAAAACCACAGTTCCTCTACCCCAAGAATATCTATTAGCCCTAGTTCACACGGATGCGGTGCGGAATTCGCAGCGTTTTTAGTGCGAATTCCGCACTGCATCAGAATCGCACTCCATTCATGCGAACCACTGTGGGTGTGTATGTTAAGTTAACAACACCCCAAAAGCGGTTCACAAAACGCGGCGCGATGTGCAGAATTGGATCGCATAGGTGTGAATACCTATGTGATCTGATTCTAGTGCAGACCCAAAAAGGGTCCTTCACGTTTTTGGTGCCAGTGTGGTGCGAATAGAGCCATACAAAATGTATGGCTGCAATCGCACTGCACACAAATCACATGTGATTTGCACTGGAATGCAGTGCGGTTCCTGTGCGAATCACATGTGATATACCACACCGCACATATATGAAAATAAGTTTCACAATAATTTTGGAAGCACTCACTCCATAAAAGGAATTTCTTGCAAAAAAAATATTTTCTGAAGAAATATATCATTTTAAAGAGCTCGTGGAGTCCAATCCATCACTGACAGCAGAGAACGTTTCTTCTATATGACAAAACAGTAGGAAATGCCAAATTAAAATCACAGGGCAAGGATTCTGGGATACCGCCTGCAATGGGCTACACAATTGTCTATTTTTAGAAACAGTTTATTCTCTTTTGGCTTTAGGAAATAAAAGACATACTCAGCATGTCCATTTTTCTTTAATTCCAGGGGGGCTTATTTAAAAGGACAGCTGCTGATTTCTGCAGGACCAGTCACACTCCTCTTCTGTGTACTGAACCTGTCACGTATTTGTCCTGTTTACAGTTCTGTTAAAAGTGTTGCAGATAGATGGAGTCGTGCTCATTTTATAAGATGTCACTGGGTAATTCAACATACTAGTGGCCATAATATATCACCAGTGTTTTTTTTTTTAACTTTTAACAAACTTTAATTACCCCTCTTCCATACTGGTAGAAAAAATCATACCAAACCTGAGTATTTGTGTGACAACACCATGAATACACACTATAAATCAAATGGGTGGCTGAAATTCCAGGACCCCCATTTATTCTTAATGCTGTTCCCTTCCTTCTATAAATATTAAAAAAGGCAAATTACATTTAATACCTCCCAAAAAAAAACACCAGACCTGATCTAATAACAGTGATCTAATAAAGTGCAACAAAAGGCATTTCCAGTGCATTAATTAAAATACTTAAAGCAGTATTAAACCCAAAAGCAAACATTTATTATATTGCAGTTTTCCAGTTCTTAGTTGTGATGGCTGCATTAGTTTTGTTTTTTGATTTCACTAAAGATTTTTGTTTTTTTTAAATAACACACATGTCTATATTTACCTGCTCTGTGTGGTTTTGCACAGATCAGCCCCAATCCTCTACTTTTCGGGTCCCAGCTGGGGGTCCTGGCTACTCCCCCTTGAGCAGTGCCCCCAGCCAAAGCCACTCAGCCTGGGGGCACCACTGCATGCTCACCCCCCGAGCCACTGCTCTATGCATCCATAAGACACATAGTGCCATAGCTCGGCCTCATCCCCCACTCTCTCTTCATTGGCTCAATGTCTGTAATTGTTAGTCAATGAGGAGGAGGAGTCCCCAGACAGCAGAGGATGTCTAGAAAGTCACTAGATCAGAGTAAGGATTGGGGGGGGTGCTGCACAGAGAAGGGTTTTTAACCTTCATGCATAGAATACATGAAGGTAAAAAACCTTGAGCCTTTAGAACCACTTTAAATTTTCACCTATGATCCTGCCAGTAAGTCTGTTGTTTTTCAACAGAACAAGTTTCCTGCAGTTTCAAACCATTTACCATTGACAGGGGTGTATACAATGATCAGCTTTTATTTACATAAAATCTGTATCCCAAAAAAACCACAACTGTTGCTGTAGCTGCTTGAAAAGTGTTAGCTGACATTTTGCATGT